ACAGCGCCACTTCCAGTTTTCTGGTGGTTTATTGGAGATAAGAGTTTCACGGACTTTCCTGACTTTCCTGCCCGGGCTGGCTTTGAACCTCGATCCTCAGATCTCAGCCTCCTGAGTAGCTAGGATTACAGGCGTGAGGCACTGGCGCCCAGCCCCTGTATGTTTTATATAAATAGGTCCCTAAAATACACAGGATATCCTGCATTAATTGCTTAAGCCAACCAGGTGCAGGTGGCTCATGCCTGTAATCCTACATACTTTAAAAGGCCAAGAGCTAAGGATCATGGTTTGAAGCCGACCTAGGTAGAAAAATTCATGAGACTCTTATCTTCAATTAATCAGTGAAGAACTAGAAGTGGAGATATAGCTCATTTGTTAGAGCACCAGCCTTCAATGAAAAAGCTTAGGGACAGCGCTCAGGCCTTGTGTTAAGCCCCAGGACACACACAGACACAGACACACACACAGACACAGACACACACACAGACACGCACGCACTCACGCACGCACGCATAAAGCCAGGTGCTGGTGGCTCATGTGCAATCCTAGCAATTCAGGAGGCTGAGATCTGGATTGTGATTTGAAGCCAGCCCAGGCAGAAAGTTTGTGAGATCTTATCTCCAAAAAGACACAAGTGGAGCTGTGGCTCAAGTGGTAGAGCGCTACCCTTAGGCACAAAAGCTCAGAGATGGTGCCCAAGCCCAACACACACACAAAAGGGGGGGGGGGCATAAAAATCACTTCTCTGTAGCTATGGGGTGCTGCAGGCACAGTGAACACAGCAGAGAATTGAGCAAAAGGAAGTCTGTCTGAGTGGTGAGCAGTCAGCTGGGGCCACTACCCACTGCCTGCAGCACTTCCCTGCGGATGCCTGGGACAGCTGGGACAGCCTGACCCCTGGGCGGCCTGTACCCCGCCTCCCACAGCACCTGCCACCACGCGAGTCCTCTGCTATACAGGGTCCACCCTGCCCACCTCTGGGCTCCCAGTAGGGGCACAGCACACGGCAGGACCACAAGAGGATGCGTGTGTTCCCCTCCTCCGCTCGCACCCTGTCTCTCTACACACCATGAGGCGCAGGCGGGTGTCGGTCTCCATCAGCACGTCCAGCTGTAGGACCAGGATGTCCTTTGGGAGGAAGGTGGGCGTGCCCCGGACCAGCGCGGCTGTGTAGCCTGTCTCTGAGGGCCTCAGGCCCTTCAGCCGGTAGCTGGGGTAGCTGGGTGGGAAGAAGCACCAGGGCTGCCCCCTCAGGGGCTCCCGGGGGCCCGGCTGTGTCGGGGCGTAGCAGCAGCCACGGGCCTCGCACTCGTTCTGCGTGATGGCCCTGTCTGGGGCGCAGTCAAAGCGGTTGTTTGGGGACACGTCGCACTGTGTGGATGCTGCCCAGCGCTGGCCAGGGCACTGCTGGGTGTGCTGGGGCCCCGGCCCCCCAGCTCCATGCTGCTGAGCTCCAGGAGTCGCTTCCAGTCCTCCAGAGGGGCCACGCGGCTCTTGGGGAACCACCAGGACGTCATGCAGCAGGACGTGCCCCAGCAGGGCGGCTGCGGCCAAGGAGAGGAGGGCGCAGACCCCCACCAGTGGGTGGGGGCGGGGGGGCCGCCTCACACCCATGGTGGTGCAGGCTGCCCCGTGCAGCGGGCAGAGTCTGGAGGCCTGTGGAGAGACGGAGGCCCAGTCACAGGGAGGAAGGCCATTCCCACGGGGCGTCCACGCAGTGACCTGTTGCAGTGCCAGGAGGTGGAAGGAGGCCAGTCAGGGGACACTTCCTTCCAGGGTGCAGGTGAGGAAACCAGGGCAGGTGACAGTGGGGACTGGTCAGGATGGAGGAGGGGGCGCTGCAGACAGTGAGGAAGCACGGAGCAGACTTCCAGACAGTGAGCAGGCTGGGCAGACTGCCCGACAGGGAAGGCAGCCACGTGGACCTGACAATGAAACAAGCTCTATCCACAGGCGTCTGAGCCCCACCTCTGCAGACAGGGGTGACCCAGGTCAGGAAGGCCTGGCTAGCGAGGTGTCCTTGGAGTAAGCTGTCCTTTGGGAAACCTGCTGCCTCCCTGGGCCCGTTTCCTGTGGACGGGCACAGACACACCGCCGTGAAGCCTTGGCCACGGCAGCAAGGGCCATCAGAAATGACCACGAGACAAGAGACCAAGGCCCTGCCCACAACCACTTGCCAAGAGCTCCCCCTCCCCCGTCATCTCTGTGGCACGTGGAAGAAGCACGTTCTATTCTATACTATACCAGGGGCTCACAGAGACAGAGGTAACAATGAGGACCCAGAGTTCAGAATCTGGTGGCAAGATGGAGATGGCTCACCTGCTCATCTGTGTGTCTAACTTTCTATCAAGCCACTGTGTTAGTCTAGCTCCAGAGAAGTACAGTGGTACCATCACAAGATAAACACATGGGGATCTTATTCAAGGCCCTACTGTTAAAATAGTGGGGTAGAGCCAGGGGCCTGTGGCTCATGCCTGTAATCCTACTCAGCAGACTGAGATCTGAGGATCGTGGTTCAAAGCCAGCCTGGGCAGGAAAGGCGTGTGACCTTACCTCCCAATTAACCACCAGAAAACTGGAAGTGGCGCTGTGGCTCAAGGTAGAGCGCTCGCCTTGAGCTGAAGATATGAGACAGCGCCCAGGCCCCGAGTTCAAGCCCTAGGACCGGGCCAAACATAAAAATAGCAGGGCAGGTGCGGAGTGGCGGTGACTCACGCCTGGAATCCTAGATACCCGAGAGGCTGCGACTGGAGGATTGCGGTTTGAAGCCAGTGGGGCAGGAAACTCCACGAGATTCTGCCTCCAGTTAACCAACATGCCAGACTGGAGGCGTGGCTCAGACCCAATTATGAGAAAGCAAGGAAATGGGAAGTGCGAGGGCCCAGGGGCATCCCCCCTCCCTGTACCGGCGCGCACGCGCACGCGAGGCGGGACTGGCGCACGCGCACGCGCACGCGCGGCGGGACTGGCGCACGCGCAAGCGCACGCGCGGCGGGACGGCGCTGCGGTGAGCTCCCGCTCAGAGCCGGGCTCTGTCTGCCGGGGGCGCAGACCTCACTCCCGCGCTGACCCGGTGGCCGAGGGGGCGCAGCATCCGGGGACCCGGCCCCTCACCACACGGCGCAGGCGCGCGGCCGGGCCTCCAGCCCTCGGGCCCCGGTCACCCGCCGGGTCCGGGCCGCACCCCGCAGCAGAGGCGGCCCCGCGGCCGGGAGCGCACGCCCGTCGCCACTGCGGGGAGAAGGTTCTGGAATACTGGAGCGGGCAGGCCGGGCCGCCCGCGGGCCCTGGCGCTCCGGCCGCCCCCACCCGGCCTCGGCTCCTCCCGCCCCAAGGGCGCGGCCCCTGCTGCCCGACACGGCGCCCTGGCCCCGGGCCGCAGCCCACGACGCCGCCGCGGACGCGGAGGGGCCGGGCGCCCGCTCCGCGCCTGCGCACAGCGGCGCGGGACCCCGCTCACCTGCGCTCACCCCCGCCGCGGCTCACGCGCCGCGGCCGGCGGCCCGGGTCACGTGGTCGGCGGGCGTGGCCCCGCGTCCCCGCCCGCGCAGGCGCCCGGGGCGGGACGCGGGGCGGGACGCGGGGCGGTGCCCAGCCGCACCCCGCGTACGGGCGTGGCGCCCGCAGACCCGGCCCGAGCCGCGCCCGCCAAGGCCGAGGAGAGGGGCAACCGGACCACGCCCCGCCGGGCGCCGTCCGTCCTGGGGTGGGGTACCCCCCACCGCCACCCCGCCCCCGCCCCGCCCCCATCCCCACCCTCACCCCCACCCCGCCCCCATCCCCACCCTCACCCCGCTCCCACCCCCACCCCGCCCCCATCCCCACCCTCACCCCCACCCCGACCCCATCCCCACCCCTCCCCATCCCCACCCCGCCCCCACCCACCCTCACCCCCACCCCCATCCCCACCCACCCTCACCCCCCACCCCACCCCGCCCCCATCCCCCCACCACACCCCACCCTCACCCCCACCCCACCCCCACCCCACCCCCACCCTGCCCTCACCCCCACCCCGGGCCGGGGTTCGAAGCCAGCCCGGCGGGAACGACTGCACGCTTACCTCAGCTAGCACGAAAGCCTTGAGCCCAGCTCGCCCAGGACCGGCGCACGGGTGCGCATGCACGCACGCACGCCGTGTGCACACGCACGCACCAATCGGAGGTTCCTTAAACGTGTTCCATAACTCAACAAGATTTTGGTGATAACCCTCACGATGTTGGGATCACGCACGCGCACACACACACCCTATAACCAGAAGGTGCTCCCGAGCCGGGCTTGGCGGTTCACCCTGTAGTCCCCACCGGGAAGCCGAGGCCTCGGGCTGGCCAGCCAGGGTCGCACGGGGAGGCTTGTGCGGGGCACCGGGCGGACGGAGGAGCCGGTGCTAGGCAGCAGGTGCAAAGCCAGCGCACACCACAACCTTAACGTGCAAGTCCAAAGGCCGGAGGGGCCGCGCGGGGCCCGTGGTGGGCTCTGGGGTAGGGAGTTGAGACCTGCCCGGCTCCTGTGGTTTCACTATTCTGTAATGGTTTAGAATGAGTCTGCCCGACTCTCCCGTCTTCAGAAAGCGTGGTTTATTAATTCTGTACAACTGGAAAGGCAAATTACTAAGTAGCACATTCTTTTTGATGGGCAACAGTGTGCAAGTACTCAGGGTTACGGAAGCAGGGGACGCGGGACCCACCGGTATTTAAGCAAGCAGGCCCTCCCCTGGGGGGAGAGAGCAGAGACACCAGAGCTCCCTGGGGCGTGGGGGTGGGGACCTTGGAAATTAGGAGGCCGTGGGTTTCAGATGCGCTCAGCAAGGCTGCTGAGGATACCAGGAGACCCAAGACTGCCCCGTCCCAGGCTTCCATGGGTCCCACGCCCCTCCAGTGGGGCCCCAGGCGTGAGATGGGGAGGTCTGTGGGCTGGACACCGCCGGGGAGGTGGGAGAGTGTGGCTTCATCTTGGGTGAGGCCTCTGCTCACACAGGCACCATCAAAATGGCGGACCTTTGAAACACTGGGCTTGAACTGCTAAAAAACTGATTTCTATGGGGCCGGCTCTCCTTGTTTTCTTTTTTCCAGCTGGTATAAGCCTGAGGGCATGAGTGGCTTTTAGGAACACACCCCTGGAGGATGGCCAGGAGCACGGGCCCAGCCGGAGATGGCCCAGCCCACGCTAGGGCTGAGTGGTCTGGAGCTTGCTGGCGATTTTCCGGCTGACCTTGTGCAGGGTCTCCTGGAACTGGGGATACTCCTGCTGCACCTGGGTGAGGATGGAGCCCAGCTGGACCAGCCGGTCCTGAAGGCGCTTCTCTTCCATAAGCAGGGTCTTGGCAGAGCGGAAAAGGAACACGTACTTTCCGTCCATCACGTCCTGCAGGTGCTTGTGGCGTGTTTGCAGAAGCACAATCTCCGAGAGGTTCTGGGTGTAAACGAGACCCCAAGTCAGGCCGTGCAAACCAGGACGCTGTCCCCAACTCATACCCATGGCAGAGTGTCACTGGAGGATGCCGGAGGGCAGGCGGTGGGGGCATCTTGGCCACATACCAGAGACGCCCCTGGTCCACTGACCAGACTGAAACTTCAAAGTCACCTTTGACCCCCTTCTTTTAACCCACAGCCGGGGGCCAGGGCCTCACACCTGTAATCCTAGCTACTCAGGAGGCTGCGATCTGAGGATCACAGTTCAAAGCCAGCCTAGGCAGGAAAGTCCAAGAGCCTCTTATCTCCAATAAACTACTCAGTAGAGGCTGGAGGTGGTGCTGTGGCTCAAGTGGTAGAGTGCTAGCCTCTAGCAAAAGAAGCTCCTGGACAGGGCTCAGGCCTTGAGTTCAAGCCCCAGGACCAGAAAAGGAGGAGGCAGGGCTACCTTGAACAGACACCTCCCACCTGTCCCCATGTAGCTTGGATCACAGTGTGAGGCACCGTGCTCAACACCTCTCCTCTTTTTTCTTCAAAAAAATCCATCACTGGGGCTGGGAAGGTGGCTCAGTGGTAGAGCGCTTGCCTTGCATGCCTGAGGCCCTGGGTTCGATTCCTCAGCACCATATAAGCAAAAAGAAAAAAGCCGGAAGTGGCACTGTGGCTCAAGTGGTAGAGCGCTAGCCTTGAGCTGAAGAGCTGAGGGACAGCGCCCAGGCCCAGAGTTTAAGCCCCACGACATTACCCTCCCCCCACGACCGTACCCTCCCCCCCCCAAAAAAAATCCATCACCATCTTAACACACTTTTCTCTGAACTCTAGAGGTGACCCCTGGGAGGGCAGAGACCTTTTGTCCTCTCATTCTCTTCTGTGGCCCTGGCACCCAGCAGTGGGGTGAGTAAACAGACCATAGGAGACAAACGTACGAGGAGTAGCCTGAGTTCCAGTGGCCCCAGGAAGGCCTGCAGCTGGGACACACAGCGTGAGAAAAACTGTCTTTTCTAAGTGAGTAGCTTAAAAGTTCCTGTTCTGGCCCTGTGGCTAGACTCTTGTTAAGGACAAGAGGAACTGCTTTGGGCTAAGGGAGGGTTTTTAAAACATAAGATTTTGTCTTACACTTTCTTTTCCAGATGGAATTTAGACACGCCTCAGTTCTAGAAATATCAATTGACATATTTTGAAATTACTACTGTATAGTTAATCTTATTTATTTATTTTTGGTCCAGTCGTGGGGCCTGAACTCTGGGCTTGGGCGCTGTCCCTCAGCTCTTCAGCTCAAGGCTAGCGCGCTACTGCTTGAGCCACAGCACCACCTCTGGCTTTTTTCTTTTTGCTTATGTGGTGCTGAGGAATCGAACCCAGGGCCTCATGCATGCAAGGCAAGCACTTTACCACTGAGCCACCTTCCCAGCCCCTTATTTATTTATTTTTGTTGGTCTTGGGGCTTGCTGAAGACTAGTGCTCTACCAGTTTCAGTCAAAGTTCCACTTCTGGTTTTCTGGTGGTTAATTGGCGATCAGAATCTCAGACTTTCCTACTCAGACTTTTCCCCCAGGTCTCAGGACTTGAACTTTGGCCTGAGCTCTGTCCCTGAGCTTCTTTTGCTCAAGACAAGCACCCCACTACTTGAGCCACACCACTGCTTCCTGCTGGTTTTTGCCTGTCATGGGATTTGAACTCAGGGCCTGGGCATGGTCTCTGAGCTTTTTTGGCTCAAGGCTAGCATTCTACCACTTGAGCCACAGTGTCACTTCAGGATTTTTTCTATGTATGTGGTACTGAGGAATGGAACCTAGGGCTTCCTGCATGCTAGGCAAGTATGCTACCACTAAGCCACCTTCCCAGGCCCTTAATCTTATTTTAAAATTCCTTATGTAAATACATTTTACTCTACTCAAACTAGCCAGTCTCGAGCAGACTGTGAAGCTGAACCAATCTGAGCAGAGGTGTGGGGACTGCTGTGTTAGGGATAAGTTTCCGAGCAGACTGCCTGCTGTGTGCTTGCTGGCTGCATTTTTGGCTGATGGGACACCTTCTCTGCACTGAGACAATTCTTCGTATCTGTTGTTGTGATTCTTGTGTGGTTCTTAGCATGTTTATATAACGCATGTTTATATAACGCACATGGACACACACATGCACACACAGGGTGTGCGGGCATGCATGCATGGTCGTGTCCCCCGCACGTGGCATGCCCCTCTGGGTGGACGCTTCAGCCCTGCTGGCCTCCTGGGACCCTTACCTGTCGCTTAAGGGCTGTGAGGTGCTCCAGGTCAGCATCGATCTTGTCGGATTCTCTCTCTATGGCCACCAGCACCTTCTGCTTCTCCGCCAGGGTGCTGCTCAGGAGTTTTTGGGATGCTTCCAGTTCCAAGATGGTCTTAGAGGACTCCTCCGTGGCCTGGGAGATGAACGGGACCTGCTAGGACCTGCTGGGCTCTGGCACCCTGGGCCCAAGGAGGCAGCTCTGGCTAAGGACGCTCCCGGAGCCTCTGGACACTGAACAGAAACTTGCGTCTGGAGAGAGGAGCGCCCCAACATGCCAGGGCTGAGCAGTGCGGGGGTCCTCCAGACGGCTGCACACAGGGTCTCGGGGTCTTTGTGTAAGAGCACAAGGCCTGGGAAACATACAGGCATCCGGGCAGTGCCCAGGCCTTGGGGGGCACATGAGGGATGGGGGGAGTGGGGTGGCCGGCAGCAGGAGGCTCGTCCACAGAGTCCCAGGACAAGGCCCTGGTGCCGCGTTGGCAGCAGGGCAAGGCTGGGCGCCATGCGGGGGGATGAAGAGGAGGAGTAGCCCCAGGAGAGGGCGGCTGCAGTTGGTGGCTGGCCTGTGTGGGCCCGGGATGTTGAGGGTGGTGCTCTGGGCCTGACCATGGGGATCTTCAGGGCAGCCTGGCGCCTGGGGACAGGGGCTGGCTGGTACATGGCGGAGGCTGAGCTGGGGGTGGCCGCTGCCTGGAGAGTGGTGTGGGGTGAGGAGGGCAGGGAACAAGGGCATGTCTAGGTGAGAGGAGTGGGTGGACTGGGGACAAGGAGCTGAAGCAGGAAAATGGATGTCACAGGGACAATGCAGCAAAGGACCGAGAAAGCCAATCTGCCACTTGTCTAGAAGCTTCCTGCAACTTCCACCCTGATAGTTCAGTTGGCCTGACCTTTCTCTACGTGGGATTTCCTCTAGAGGGTCTTGTTCCATCACCTGGCTGGCCTGGGACTTGTCATCCTCCTGGCGTGGCTCCCTGGGTGCTGGGATTATTATATGCCTGGGGGGGGGGCATGTCTGGCCCGGGTCGGCCTCTGGCCTTGTCAGTGAGGTGGGCTCCAGCCTGGTCCCCTGCGGTCCAGCCACCGTCTTGCTTCACAGTCCCTCCCCGGAGGCAGACAGGAAACACAGGCTGGGGATGGGGGGGGGGGGGGTGTTGGCCCTTGGCGGCCTGGGGGAGCGGGCTCAGGAAGCACTGGCTGGAGTCTCATCTCCTTCTGGGGGCTAAGGGGCTCCCCTGGCACGAGCCTGCCTTACCACACACCTGCCTGCCCCCAGCCTCCACTTGGAGGACTCCTGCCCCTCCCTGGCACAGCTCACTCTTCCCTGTGTGGATGCCTCCCAACCCAGATGAGTCCCGGATACAGCCTATGCCGGTGCTACAGCAGGGGCACATGGAGGGCACCTGCTGGGCACGACCACCCACCTCTACCTGGCTGCCTAGAGCGGTCCTGGGTCCCTTCACATGCACTGCACAGTGAGGGCTGCCCGGCTGCAGAGCCGGCTCCCCCCAAAGCCCACCACTCCACAGCCAGCACGGCCACCACAGACACGGAAGGAGAAGCAGAGAAGGCGAGTGAGGAGGGACAGGAAGGCAGCGCCAGAGCCCACCACAGCCCAGGGGCTGTCATCCTGAGTTCGCTGCCCAGGGTTCTGGGCTCCTTTAGGCGTCCTGAGAGCCGGGCAGGCCGGCGGCTTCTCCACACAACCGTGTCCTACCCCACGGGCAGCCTGACCAGGCGGGATGGACTCAGGCTGGCTGCTGGAGGAATGGAGACTCTAACACCAGCTCCAATGACAGACATAAGCCGAGCGGGAACACTTTTCTGGAATAAGGACCCTTCCCTTTGCCCCGGTCTGCGTTGCCACCCACCTTGTACACCTCCCGGATCTTCCGCCGCAGCTCCACCTGCTTGTGGTGGAAGTCAGACCGGGTGAGCACCTTCTTGGTCTTGCTCTGGCCCTCGGCCTGGACCACGATGGCCTCCCTGCGGGCCACGGCCATCTCCATGTCCCGGATCATCTTCTCTTGCTGCTTCAAGAGCTTCCCGAGACTCACCTGGAGGCCCAGGACCGAGGGGGTGGTTAGAGGCAGGCACTGGTGGCATCCCGCCAAGGCTGCACTGTGGTTTTGAAGATGGCAGCTGGGGAGGTCTGGGGGAGGGTCTGTGCGCCAGGGATGGGGTCTGGGTGCGTGAGGAAATTTTCTGAAGCCCCAGGAATACGCTGGGTCTTGATTGTGGCCATGGTCACATGGAGGTGAACCCACAGAACCCTTGGTCTAGAATAAGCACATTCTATCCTATGTAAGTGATGCCTTCATACAGTTAAGCTAAAGGCAGGAGGGCTGGGAAGGCAGCTCCGTGGTAGAGTGCTTGCCTTGCATGCATGAGGCCCTGGGTTTCATTCCTCAGCGCCAAATAAGCAGAAAAAGCTGGAAGTGGCGCTGTAGCTCAAGTGGTAGAGAGCTCGCCTTGAGCTGAAGAGCTGAGGGACAGCGCCCAGGCCCAGAGTTCAAGCCCCACGACCAAAAAAGAAAAGAAAAAAAAAGAACAGGCAGGAACAGTGACAAACCACTGTCACAGCCAAGAACCCACAGAACCTTTAACTCACAGGGCCCGGGGCTTCAATCTATGGGGATGGAAGGAGGCGGGAAGGAGGGGAGGGGAGGGAAAAAGGAAGGGTGTTATTATAACGCTGATGGATGCCTACTTTTATATATTAACTTGGCTAGGCTAAGCATTGCCCAGATATCTAGAAACCCACCATTTTTGAGTGGGTCTGGAAGGAAGTTTCCAGAAGGGATTGGATTTTGAATCTGGGGATTAAGGAACATAAAACTCCCCATTCTCCTCAATGGGGTGGCATCATCCGATCCACCCAGGGTCAAAATAGAACGTAAGTCAGGGAGGAGAAGCCCACTGGCTTTCCAGCCCCAGCCAGCCCTTGGGGCTGCAGATGGCAGGAGGCAGCTCACAGGAGTCCTCAGAGAGACTGAGGAGGACTGAGCTGAGATTGGAGGATCGCAGCTCAAAGCCAGCCTGGGCAAGAAGAAAGAAAGTCCATGAAACCAATTAACCACTAGAAAACCGGAAGTGGTGCTGCAGTTCAAAGTGCTAAAGCATTAGCCTTAAGCAAAAAGAGCTCAGGGTCAGCACCTAGGCCCTGAGTTCAAGCCCCATGACCCACAAAAATGAAACAGAAAACAGACCTATGGCCCTCTGTACAGTTCTGAATCTCACTGATGGGCAGTTTGTCACTGCTCGAACAATGTGGTGGGAACATACATAAAGCAAGATGGACTGTTGGGGACCACAGAGAGCTGCCAGACGCCTCCCGTCACCCATCACATTTATTTTATTGTTTTTTTTTTTTTATTTTTGGGTCCGGTTGTGGGGCCTGAACTCTGGGCCTGGGTGCTGTCCCTCAGCTCTTCAGCTCAAGGCTAGCGCTCTACCACTTGAGCCACAGCGCCACTTCCGGCTTTTTTTCTTTTTGCTTATGTGGTGCTGGGGAATCGAACCCAGGGCCTCAGGCATGCAAGGCAAGCGCCCAACCACTGAGCCACCTTCCCAGCCCATCACATTTATTTTAATCCTAAACGCCAGAACCTTAAAGACAACGATCAGCTACACTTTGGTTGCTATTTGTTACAGGTGGTCAGGGAGAAGGACGGGGCTCCCTGAGCTTGGTATCCTGGGCTCTCCTTCTCCACAGTGCGGCCTTGTTACTGAACACTGATAATCGGGGTCATTACCAACTTTGAAAAGGTCACAGTGCCTTGATTGCCCAGAGGAAGAATAAAATGGCCAGTCGAGAAATGACGTGGGTGGTGTGAGTGCAGTGGTGTTGTGTGATGGTGTGGGTGGTGGTGTGAGTGCAGTGGTGTTGTGTGATGGTGTGGGTGGTGGTGTGAGTGCAGTGGTGTTGTGTGATGGTGTGGGTGGTGGTGTGAGTGCAGTGGGGTTGTGTGATGGTGTGGGTGGTGGTGTGAGTGCAGTGGTATTGTGTGATGGTGTGGGTGGTGTGAGTGCAGTGGTGTTGTGTGATGGTGTGGGTGGTGTGAGTGCAGTGGTTTTGTGTGATGGTGTGGGTGGTCGTGTGAGTGCAGTGGTGTTGTGTGATGGTGTGGGTGGTGTGAGTGCAGTGGTATTGTGTGATGGTGTGGGTGGTGGTGTGAGTGCAGTGGTGTGTGATGGTGTGGGTGGTGGTGTGAGTGCAGTGGGGTTGTGTGATGGTGTGGGTGGTGGTGTGAGTGCAGTGGTATTGTGTGATGGTGTGGGTGGTGTGAGTGCAGTGGTGTTGTGTGATGGTGTGGGTGGTGGTGTGAGTGCAGTGGTGTTGTATGATGGTGTGGGTGGTGGTGTGAGTGCAGTGGGGTTGTGTGATGGTGTGGGTGGTGGTGTGAGTGCAGTGGTATTGTGTGATGGTGTGGGTGGTGTGAGTGCAGTGGTGTTGTGTGATGGTGTGGGTGGTGGTGTGAGTGCAGTGGTGTTGTGTGATGGTGTGGGTGGTGGTGTGAGTGCAGTGGTGTTGTGTGATGGTGTGGGTGGTGGTGTGAGTGCAGTGGTGTTGTGTGATGGTGTGGGTGGTGTGAGTGCAGTGGTGTTGTGTGATGGTGTGGGTGGTGTGAGTGCAGTGGTGTTGTGTGATGGTGTGGGTGGTGGTGTGAGTGCAGTAGTGTTGTGTGATGGTGTGGGTGGTGGTGTGAGTGCAGTGGTGTTCTGTGATGGTGTGGGTGGTGGTGTGAGTGCAGTGGTGTTCTGTGATGGTGTGGGTGGTGTGAGTGCAGTGGTGTTGTGTAATGGTGTGGGTGGTGTGAGTGCAGTAGTGTTGTGATGGTGTGGGTGGTGTGAGTGCAGTGGTGTTGTGTGACGGTGTGGGTGGTGGTGTGAGTACAGTTGTGTTGTGTGATGGTGTGGGTGGTGGTGTGAGTGCAGTGGTATTTTGTGATGGTGTGGGTGGTGGTGTGAGTGCAGTGGTGTTGTGTGATGGTGTGGGTGGTGTGAGTGCAGTGGTGTTGTGTGATGGTGTGGGTGGTGGTATGAGTGCAGTGGTATTCTGTGATGGTGTGTTTGGTGGTGTGAGTGCAGTGGTGTTGTGTGATGGTGTGGGTGGTGGTGTGAGTGCAGTGGTGTTGTGTGATGGTGTGGGTGGTGGTGTGAGTACAGTGGTGTTGTGTGATGGTGTGGGTGATGGTGTGAGTGCAGTGGTGTTGTGTGATGGTGTGGGTAGTGTGAGTGCAGTGGTGTTGTGTGATGGTGTGGGTGGTGGTGTGAGTGCAGTGGTATGTGATGGTGTGGGTGGTGTGAGTGCAGTGGTGTTTTGTGATGGTGTGGGTGGTGGTGTGAGTACAGTGGTGTTGTGTGATGGTGTGGGTGGTGTGAGTGCAATGGTGTTGTGTGATGGTGTGGGTGGTGTGAGTGCAGTGGTGTTGTGTGATGGTATGGGTGGTGGTGTGAGTGCAGTGGTATTCTGTGATGGTGTGGGTGGTGTGAGTGCAGTGGTGTTGTGTGATGGTGTGGGTGGTGTGAGTGCAATGGTGTTGTGTGATGGTGTGGGTGGTGTGAGTGCAGTGGGGTTGTGTGATGGTGTGGGTGGTGGTGTGAGTGCAGTGGTATTCTGTGATGGTGTGGGTGGTGTGAGTGCAGTGGTGTTGTGTGATGGTGTGGGTGGTGGTGTGAGTGCAGTGGTATGTGATGGTGTGGGTGGTGTGAGTGCAGTGGTGTTTTATGATGGTGTGGGTGGTGGTGTGAGTGCAGTGGTGTTGTGTGATGGTGTGGGTGGTGTGAATGCAGTGGTGGTGTGTGATGGTGTGGGTGGTGTGAGTGCAGTGGTGTTGTGTGATGGTGTGGGTGGTGTGAGTGCAATGGTGTTGTGTGATGGTGTGGGTGGTGTGAGTGCAATGGTGTTGTGTGATGGTGTGGGTGGTGTGAGTGCAGTGGTGTTGTGTGATGGTATGGGTGGTGTTGTGAGTGCAATGGTGTTGTGTGATGGTGTGGGTGGTGTGAGTGCAGTGGTATGTGATGGTGTGGGTGGTGTGAGTGCAGTGGTGGTGTGTGATGGTGTGGGTGGTGGTGTGAGTGCAGTGGTGTTCTGTGATGGTGTGGGTGGTGGTGTGAGTGCAGTGGTGTTGTGTGATGGTGTGGGTGGTGGTGTGAGTGCAGTGGTGTTGTGTGATGGTGTGGGTGGTGGTGTGAGTGCAGTGGTGTTGTGTGATGGTGTGGGTGGTGTGAGTGCAGTGGTGTTGTGTGATGGTGTGGGTGGTGGTATGAGTGCAGTGGTATTCTGTGATGGTGTGGGTGGTGGTGTGAGTGCAGTGGTGTTGTGTGATGGTGTGGGTGGTGGTGTGAGTGCAGTGGTGTTGTGTGATGGTGTGGGTGGTGGTGTGAGTACAGTGGTGTTGTGTGATGGTGTGGGTGATGGTGTGAGTGCAGTGGTGTTGTGTGATGGTGTGGGTGGTGTGAGTGCAGTGGTGTTGTGTGATGGTGTGGGTGGTGGTGTGAGTGCAGTGGTATTCTGTGATGGTTTGTTTGGTGGTGTGAGTGCAGTGGTGTTGTGTGATGGTGTGGGTGGTGGTGTGAGTGCAGTGGTATTCTGTGATGGTTTGTTTGGTGGTGTGAGTGCAGTGGTGTTGTGTGATGGTGTGGGTGGTGGTGTGAGTGCAGTGGTGTTGTGTGATGGTGTGGGTGGTGGTGTGAGTGCAGTGGGGTTGTGTAATGGTGTGGGTAATGGTGTGAGTGCAGTGGTGTTGTGTGATGGTGTGGGTGGTGTGAGTGCAGTGGTGTTGTATGATGGTGTTGGTGGTGGTGTGAGTGCAGTGGTGTTGTGTGATGGTGTGGGTGGTGGTGTGAGTTCAGTGGTGGTGTGTGATGATGTGGGTGGTGGTGTGAGTGCAGTGGTGTTCTGTGATGGTGTGGGTGGTGTGAGTGCAGTGGTGTTGTGTGATGGTGTGGGTGGTGGTGTGAATGCAGTGGTATTCTGTGATGGTGTGGGTGGTGGTGTGAATGCAGTGGTGGTGTTTGATGGTGTGGGTGGTTGTTTGAGTGCAGTGGTGTTGTGTGATGGTGTGGGTGGTGGTGTGAGTGCAGTGGTGTTGTGTGATGGTGTGGGTGGTGGTGTGAGTGCAGTGGTGTGTGATGGTGTGGGTGGTGTGAGTGCAGTGGTGTTGTGTGATGGTGTGGGTGATGGTGTGAGTGCAGTGGTGTTGTGTGATGGTATGGGTGGTGTGAGTGCAGTGGTGTTCTGTGATGGTGTGGGTGGTGGTGTGAGTGCAGTGGTGTTTTATGATGGTGTTGGTGGTGGTGTGAGTGCAGTGGTGTTGTGTGATGGTGTGGGTGGTGGTGTGTGTCCAGTGGTGTTCTGTGATGATGTGGGGTGCCATTGTGAGTCCTTTGGTGCTCTGTAATGTTGTGGGTGACGTAACCCAGTGGTACTGTGCAGTGACTTTTGTACAGTGAGGACCAGAGCCAGGAATGCCGTGACTCCTGAGCAGCCAGTGCTCGGCGGCCCTGGTTTCTTCCAAGGACCGGGAACCTCTCTGGATGTCACAGGCCACGTGGGGGCCCAGAGGGGAGAAGGAAGGACAGGGAAGGGTTAGAGAGCTGGGCCCGCCTGTCTGTCCAGGGAGCGTCCTTGCCCATGGGGAGGTCCCAGCCCATGCTCAGGCCTGGCCCCCATGCCCCTCGCTCTGCCCCCTCACCCAGGGTCTCTCCGGCCCCCCCCCCCCCGCCCCTGCTGTGCACCGCACCGGGCTGCTCACCTTCATCCTCTGTATCTCAGCCTTCATGGCCCGGATCTCTGTCTGGCCAGCCTCAGAATCCACCACAAAACGCATCTCTTTTGCCAGTTGGATTTTTTTCTCCCAAAGCATGATCTGGTGTCTTTAGGAGGAGGAGAGGCGGCATCAGAGCCTGCCCTGCAGGCACCGCAGGCCCAGCTCTGGCTTCTTAAGAGCAAAGATTTGCCAACCCTAGAAACAACAGACCTCGGGCCTGCAAGGAGGGAGGAAGGGGAGAGAGGACAAAGGAGGAGGACAGAACCAAGGGCGTGACTGTCAACCTAGAACCACAGGAGTGATAAAAGTTGACTTAAGCAGAAGTAAAAAAGCCCAAATAACCCTGTGGTCAATGCTACTAACAGGTCAGTCACCAGGGACACAGGCCCCATGAACTTTGACCCCACAAGTTTTGACCAGTTGGTGTTCTGCAAAGATGCTGCCACGGTGAACATGCATGCATGCACGCGCACACACACACACACACACACACACACACACACACACACACACAACCCCTCCTAGCCCCCCAGCCGTGCGTGTACAGCAGCCATTCCAGCTGGAGGTGGGGATGTGGGGCACTGAGGAACAGTCTTACTAACATCTAACCAAGGGAGAATCTACTGTGTGGGTTTCCAGTGCGGGAGGAGGGCTGGAGTCACACATGCTTGTCCTCTCCCCTTTGCATGTTTCTGAGGTGAGCAGGCGGGTGCCTGTGACTTGCATAATCAGACACTATAAAATAAAATATATATTACAAACGTATCCTACAGGCTGGGAACTGTGGCTCAGTGGTCGAGTGCTTGCCTTGCATGCATGAAGCCCTGGGTTCCATTCCTCAGTACCACATACTCAGAAAAAGCTGGAATTGGTGCTGTGTCTCAAGTTGGTAGAATGCTATAGCCTTGACAAAAGCAGCTCAGGGACAGTGCCCAGACCCTGAGTTCAAGCCCCAGGACTGGCAACAAAAAAAAAAGTATTGTAGCTGGGCACCAGTGGCTCATGCCTGTCATCCTTGCTACTCAGGAGGCTGAGATCTGAGGATCATGGCTTGAAGCCAGCCCAGGCAGGCAAGTCAGGAACACAAAAGCTCAAGAAAAGTGCCCGGGGCCCGAAGTTCAAGCCCCAGGGCGATAGCTTGCATGTGTGCACACACGTTTATCCCACAGAACGCCTCTGGGTTTTGTGTGGACTGGCTGGAGGGCTGGGTCTCTGGGCACCCACACAGAACGCCTCTGGGTTTTGTGTGGACTGGCTGGAGGGCTGGGTGTCTGGGCACCCGCAAGGGCAGGCCCCGGAGCCACTCTCCCAGCCCCGATGCGGTGGCCTGCCGTGCACGTGTGCAGCTCGCTGAGTGTGTGCGTGCAGCTGAGCCTGACACTCACTCGGCCTCCACCAGGCTGTTGAGGAGCGCTTCCTTCTCCTCCAGGAGCTTGTCTAGTTTCTCTTGCATTTGGATCGTCTCTCTCTCCTCCATCTGCAGGGTGAGCAGGGGCGCTGAGAAGGGCTTAGGGCTTGGACACTGGGGTTGTGGACCCCCCCCTCCGACCCTCATGGAGATGGCTGGGCGGTGTGCCAACGTTCTGAGTCTTCCAAAAGTGCTTCAAAGGCAGGTGGGAGCTATATTCTCAGGTGGATGACCAAATCAAGGACATGTAGCTGGTGGCTCACACCTGCAACCCCACCTCCTCAAGGGGTTGAGATTAGTCTGTGAGACTCTCCAGTTAATCTCCAAAAACTGGATGTGGAGCTGTGGCCCCAGCCGGGACAGCGGCTGGAGTCAATGGGATGGGGAGGAGCTCCCTGTGGGACGCGGGAGGGGAGGTGGGCCCACCTTTAGCGTGCGCACAAACTCGTTCTCCGCCACGAAGTTGCTCTGCTGCAGATCCTCAGAGTTGCCACGCTTCTTGTTGATGAGCACGTTGAGATTCTTCAGGTCGTTGTCCAGGTCCTTCATGTAGCAGCTGATCTCCTTCTGTTCCTTCTTCTCCTGATCGATCTTGTCTGTGCAGATGGGGGGCAGGTATGGTGTGGGGAGGAAGGGCCTCACCACGGCAGTGGGGGTCGGGCCTGGAGAGGAACCTGGGTCCTACCACTCCTGTGTCCTTCCAGTCCCCCCCCATCACATCACCAGTCTGTTGGGGAGGAAGGGGTCTCTTCGAAGGGAACTGCAGACTGTGCTAAGGGGAAAACTGGGTGAGGGAGGCGAACAGGCTGCCCCTCCAGTGAGAAGTGGAGGAGGGTCTGCGGGAAAGCTAGGTCCTTGCTACTAGCTGGCCTGGCCAAGCTCAGGCTGGGTCAGAACACCCCAGACATTGTATTTGTTTTTGTTTTTTGGGTCCGGTCATGGGGCCTGAACTCTGGGCTTGGGTGCTGTTCCTCAGCTCTTCAGCTCAAGGCTAGTGCTCTACCACTTGAGCCACAGCACCACTTCCGGCTTTTTTCTTTTTGCTTTATGTGGTGCTTAGGAATCGAACCCAGGACCTCTGGCATGCAAGGCAAGCACTCTACCACTGAGCCACCTTCCCAGCCCCACCGCAGACATTGTAAATGCCCATCCTGGGAGTTGAACTCAGGGCCTGGGTGCTGGCACGCTACCACTTGAGCCACAGCGCCACTTCCGGCTTTTTTCTTTTTGCTTATGTGGTGCTGAGGAATAGAAACCAGGGCCTCATGCATGCAAGGCAAGCGCTCTACCACTGAGCCACCTTCCCAGCCCCAATAGATGTTCTTAACAGAGGGATGGGAAAGAACAGCAGGTGCATGCAGCCTGCCATGGCCCCGCCCCATGCCGGGCCCCACCCCCCACAGCGCCAAGCCCCGCCCCTGGCTGTACAGCCCCGCCCCACCCCGCGTCGGGCCCCTCCCAGCACCAAGCCCCGCCCCTAGCTGTACAGCCCCGCCCCACCCCGCGTCGGGCCCCACCCCCCCACAGCACCAAGCCCCGCCCCTGGCTGTACAGCCCCGCCCCACCCCGCGTCGGGCCCCACCCCCCACAGCACCAAGCCCCGCCCCTGGCTGTACAGCCCCGCCCCACCCCGCGTCGGGCCCCACCCCCCCACAGCACCAAGCCCCGCCCCTGGCTGTACAGCCCCGCCCCACCCCGCATCGGGCCCCGCCCTGCCCTCACTGTCGGTCCGCAGCTTCTTCTGCTCCATGATGTTCAGCTCCTTGCTGAGCATGTCCAGGGTGGCCAGCTGGTCCTCGCGCTCCTGGCTGACCTGCACCAGCTCCTGCTGCAGGCGCAGCCAGCTCACCTGGGTCTGCGTGATCTTGGCCGTGTGCTCTTCGATCAGCTTGGTCAGCCGTTTGATTTCCACCTCCAAGGGTCCCATCTCTTCCCCCTGAGCGGCACAGTTCTCCAGGGTGAACGTTCTCCGGGTCCCTCCTGCGCCCACGCCCTCGGGGTCCCTTGGGGCCTCTTTGCTACCCACAGGGCTTTGCGGCTGCTTTCCTAACCCAACATGGGGGCTCTCCCCCACAGGCCCCCAGCGTGCACCCCTGACCCCTACCGGCATAGTGAGCACCAGGGGGTGTAGAGACCCACACTCGTTAGACCACAGGCACAGTGGTCGGTGGTCACTGCTGGCTCCAATGGTGGGCAGCCCTCACCATGCCCACAGAGGGCGGTGGTCCAGGGGAAGAGGTAACACCTTGGGCCAGGGCCTGCTGCAACCATGCCCTGCACTGGCCTCGGTCAGGCGCAACCCCCCCCCCCACGCTTCCCCCCCCCCCCCCCCCCCCCCCCCCCGCCGTGCTGGGACACCGTGTCCTGAGGGCTCACTTCTGTCTGTCTTCTTTGGTGGTGCTGGGGTTTGGCATGCAGGGCCTCATGCTTACTGGAGACAGATCCGTAACTTTTTTTTTTTTTTAATTTTTAGTTACTTTTTACCTAGGATCTTGGTTTTTCCCCAGAGCTAGCCTTAGACTGATCTCGTCCTCAGTATGCCTCCCATGTAGCTCGGACACAAATGTGCTACCATGCTTCACCTATTGGTTGAGATGGGGTTCTTGCTAACTGCCCCCCGCCCCAAGCTGTCCTCAACCCACCCTCTTCCTGATGTCCGCCTCCTGAGTGGCTGGGATTACAAGCGTGAGCCACCAAGCCTGGTCTCCAGGGCTTCCTTTCTCATAACAAAGCCCCCGGAAGGATCCGTCCCAGCGGGGGCCTTACCCCCAGCTCCGACACAATCTGCTCGAGCTGCTTGTTGAAGGTGTTGATGAGCCCCTGCTTCCTCTCGATCAGGATGGTGCGGCGGGAGATCTCATTCTCGCTGTTGGTGATGAGCTCATTCACCTCCTTCACCTCCTTGTCCAGCTCCAACAGCGTCTTCTGGTGCATTTCCAGCCTGCAGCTGGTGTTGGTGATGTTCAGGGTGGCCTGAGCAATGTCGCCGTCGATTTTGGAGAGGTGTGTCACCTGAATTAGGGGACAAGGCACGTGTGTGAGCACTTCCGTCCCAAGAGGCTCCAGGAGGGCAGACCTGGAGGATGCTGGCTGCTGGGGCCTGGAGACCCGGATGGAAGCCTGCCACTGGGCTGGCTCATTGCGTGGGTGGGGCGGTTGCAGTGGCCAGGGGTGGGAGAGAATTGTCTGATTCTACTGCCAGGTTTTCCTGCTGCAGTCACCTGGAATGTAGCCTTCTTTCTGTCTTTTGCATGAGCCCTCTGTGCTCAGTGGGACAGAACTAGGCTGCGGGTCGCCTCCTGGGCTGTGGCTGCTAGAGCAGGTAATGATTGTATGGGGGGGGGGGCGGGTGCTGCTGGGAATTGAATTCAGGACCTCACACTTCTGGGTAGGTGCTCTACCACTTGAGTCATGCCCCCAGCCCTTTTGGTTTATGTATTTTGCTACTGAGATGCGGTCCTCCCAACTCTGCCTGGGCTGGCCTCTAACATGTGATCCTTGTGCCTCTGCTTCCCAGGTGGTGGGATTACAAGCACAAGCCGCCACACCCAGCTGATCTGCTCCTAATTTTGGTGGGTGTGTATCAGTATTGGGGCTTGGACTCGGTGCTAGGCGCTCTACCACTTGAGCCAAACTTCCACTTCTGGCTGGTTAATTGAAGATAAGAGACTCACAGGGGGCTGGGAAGGTGGCTCAGTGGTAGAGCGCTTGCCTTGCATGCATGAGGCCCTGGGCTCGATTCCTCAGCACCACATGAGCAGGAAAAAAAAGCCGGAAGTGGTGCTGTGGCTCAAGTGGTAGAGCGCTAGCCTTGAGCTGAAGAGCTGAGGGACAGCTCCCAGGCCCAGAGTTCAGGCCCCATGACCGACCCCCCCCCCCCAAAAAAAAAGACTCACAGGTGTCCCTGCCCAGGCTGGCTTCAAACCACAACCTGCAGATCTCAGCTGGCCGAGTAATTAGGATTACAGGTGTGAGCCACGGGTGCCACCCTGTGGGTGGTCTTGGCTGTCACTGCCTCTGGGCTCCCGCTGCCAGCCCTCCTGCACCCCATCTGCTCTGGGGCCTGCAGCTTCCCCTCCTAGGCCCCAACCACAGCCAGGGCTCCCACTCCCACCACTTGTCAAACACAGACCCCGCCCCCGCCCTATTCTGTGGACATCATCCCGAGACCAGGTGCCAGCAGGGCCTCCACTGCCTGAGCCCCTTTTACTCTCCAGACCACTCCCCCACCCCCACTCACTGCCCTGCCCTGTCCAGTCTGCCAGGCCCTGATCCTGGGTTACCGCCATGCCCTGTGGGCCCTGGCTCTGCGGGGGTCCATCCACCCAGTGCTCCTCCTCCTGGAGGCACCCCTGCCCCGCCCTGCCTGCCTGTCACCGGCTCACGGCTCACAGGCTCCGGGGACCGGCAGGATCCCTCAGGGCTCCATCTGTTGGAAAATGGCAATTGTAGGGGAATTTGTTGTCCAGGGCTCCTTCCTGCCCTCTTCTGGACAGAGGTGGTAGTGCAACCCAGACTGCCCAGGAGGGGCAGAGCCGCGTCTGGCACAGCCGCTCTCCTTAGGACAGAACCAGAGGAGGTCCCTCAGGGGACACCGAGACAGCAAGGAGCCCCACCCCCGGGGACTCAGCCCCCACCCTCTATGACCGGAGTCCAAAGCAGGGCTCCTCCTTGGACCCTGGGGCTTTGGGAGCCCCTGTGAGGTGAGACCTTGCCTCTCTGAGCCTTCCTCAGGAACCCGGTCAAGGCCCAGGGCTGCAGGGCCGAATTCAAGCCAGGTGCTCACCCCAGCCACTCCGGAGACTAAGACCCAGAGGATTATGGTTTGAGGCCAGCCCTGGCAAAAGAGTCCATAAGACTCAATCTCCAAATCACCAGCCAAAAGCAGGGCAAACTATGCAGAGACAATCACTGACTCCTACACCAGCCTGCACCCGCCCTCTGCTGTGTGCCACAGCTCAGCGCGACTGAGGATTCAAATAGACCCTGGGCGTGCATGTGTAGCTCGTGTGTGTGTGTGTGTGTGTGTGTGTGTGTGTGTGTGTGTGTGTGTGTGTCTGTATAGAAAGATATTCAGGAAAAAATACATCAAGATCACAGGAAAGACTGTCCTAAACTAGACCTGACTTTTTTTGTTGTTGTCAGTCGTGGGACTTGAACTCTGGGCCTGGGCACTGTCCCTCAGCTCTTCAGCTCAAGGCGAGTGCTATACCACTTGATCCACAGTGCCACTTCCAGCTTTTTCTTCTTACGTGGTGCTGAGGAATAGAACCCAGGGCCTCATGCATGCAAGGCAAGCACTCAACCACTGGGCCACCTTCCCAGCCCTAAACCTGACTTTTCTTCTTCTATTTCCATAAGAAGTAACTTAAGTTAGCACCAGCTCATTACAGGCTCATGCCTGTAATCCTAGCTACTCAGGAGGCTAAGAGCTGAGGATCATGGTTCAAAGCCAACCCAGGCAAGAAAGTCTATGAAATTCTTATCTCCAATTAACCAAAAATCCACAAGTGGTACTGTGTGTGACTCAAATGGTAGAGCTCTAGCCTTAAGCAAAAAGCTTAGGGACAGTGTCCAAGCCCTGAGTACAAGTCCCAGAGCTAGCATGTATGCTTGAGCATGTGCGTGGTCATGCACACACACACCAACACCCCAAACCCCCCTGGCATGACTAATTGATGTCAACTTAAAAAGGAGAAGGGCCAGGCCTAGTGGCTCACGCCTATAATCCTAGCTACTTAGAAGGCTGAGATCTGAGGATCTAGGTTCATAGCCAGCCTGGGCAGGAAAGTCCATGAGAGTCTTCTCTCCAATAAAACCACCAGAAAACTGGAAGTGTCGCTGTGGCTCAAATGGTAGAGCGCTTGCCTTGAGATGAAGAGCTGAGGGACAGCGCCCAGGCCCAGCGTTCATGACCCATGACCGACAAAAAAAAAAAAAAATTAAAAAAAAATAATAAATTAAAAGGAAGAGAAGCCAGGTGCTAGTGGCTCCCACCTGTAATCATAGCTACTGAGGAGGCTGAGCTCTGAGGTTTATGGTTCGAAGCCAGCCTGGGCAGGAAAGTCTTGAAGATTCTTATCTGCAAATAACCACCAGAAAACTGGCTCAAAGTGGTAGAGCACTTGCCTTGGGTGGAAAAAGCTCAAGGACAGCACCTAGGGCCCTGAGTTCAAGCCCCTTAACTGGCCAAAACAAGGGGGGGGGGAAGGAGAAGGCTTTGACCACAAGAAGCCACGCGGAGCGTCTGGTGAGGTCAGCTTGGCCACACTGCCCCGCCCCGCCCCGCCCCGGAGGGGAGCTTCCTACCATGGTGGTCTTTTCCTTCTGCAGCTTCTGGAGGAGCTGGTTGAAGTACTTGGTCAACTTTCTGGAGGTCACGTGCTCCTGCAGTTTGTCTGTGATGGAGGCGTCCGTGTGGCGCTTGAAGTCCTGCTCCTGGCGGATGGCCTGGTGGATGGCGTGCAGCTCGTTTGTGACTGCTGTGTGCTCCTGGGAGAGTTGAAGGTAGTACTTCTGAGGGGGCGCCCCAGCCAGGGCCGGTGGGGCGCCGCAGCCCGGGGGCGGGGACCCCGGCCGCACCACTTGGCCCTTGCTGAGGGCGTCCTCCGTGTCCTGCAGCGTGAGGCGGTAGGTGGTGAACTCGTTCTGCAGCACCTCGTGTCTGCTCAGGCACTGGGCCGTCATCTTCTGCGTGAGGCTGGCCTCGGTCTCCGTGCGGTTCAGGATGCCTGCCAGCTTCTCGTTCTTCTCCTCCTCCTTCATGATGGATTTCTTGTAGGCCTCGATCTCACCATCCAAGGACTTGGCCTGATGGAGGGATTCTCTGCAGGAATGGATGCGGGGAGCGGTCCTGTGTGTGTACCCCAGACCGCCCTCTGGGGCCTTGGCCAGGCACATGGACATTCCAGGGGTACTCGAGTTTGAACGCAGGGCTCACACTTTCTGCAAATACCTGTCCCTGGGCCTCTTTTGCTCAAGGCTAGCACTCCCCCACTTGAGACACACCGCCACTTCTGGCTTTTTCTGTGTATGTGGTACTGAGGAATCGAACCCAGGGCTTCATGCATGTGAGGCAAGTGCTCTACCACTGAGTCCCCTTCCCAGTCCTCCACCAACCAATTCTGACAGAGCCACTGTAGTGTGCTGTGGGGAAAGGGTCAAGGTTTTAGCCAGTGGCCTTGGGACAACAAGAGACACGGAACCTGACTACTTCCTCATAGCATAGCAGTGGCTCAACACTGGAATCCTGGCTACTTGGGAGGGTATCAGAAGCTTGAGATTCACGGCCAGTCTAGGCAAAAAGAAGTTTGAGAGACTCCATCTCCACTGATGGCTTGTTGTAGCAGTTCATGCCTGTCATCCCAGCTGCAGTGGAAACACAATGGCTGGGCGCACAAATAAGAGGATCACATGAAGTGGGACCAATGCAAAAAGGGCTGGAGGCAGGGCCCAAGTGGCAGGTCAGCTGCTGCCGGGTGCCAGCCCTGGTTCAGTCCCCAGTAACTCCAAAACTAGAGGTGTCATGACGTTGTCCAAGTTATAAGAGCTAAAACAAGAAAGTTCTTAGCAGAAGACACAGTTGAGGGCTGGGAAGGTGGCTCAGTGGTAGCGCGCTTGCCTTGCATGCCTGAGGCCCTAGGTTCGATTCCTCAGCACCACATAAGCAAAAAGAAAAAAGCTGGAAGTGGCTCAAGTGGTAGAGCGCTAGCCTTGAGCTGAAGAGCTGAGGGACAGCACCCAGGCCCAGAGTTCAGGGCCCATGACCGGACCAAAAAAAAAAAGAAGACACAGTTGAAAACTCTGGTTTAGGCAGATATTTCTTAGAGGAGACATACAAAGTAAGAACTAAGAAAGAAAAATACTGATAAGTCAGCTTCATAACAATTTCCTGGCCAGCTGTATCATCTGTAACCCCAAGCACTCAGATGGCAAAGGCTGTAGGATCCAGAGTTCAAGGCCAACCAGGGCTACATGATGAGCTCCAGGCCAGAGAAAACAAGCCCAAGTTCTGTCTGCAGCTAGCCTCGGTTTCCTCCCCCTGCATATTTCAGGGATAAGCAAATCTTTAGGCAGAATTTTCTGGACAATTCCACTAAGCTCCCCGGGCTTTACACCGCTGACTGAAGTGAGTGATGGGAATGGATGTTTTCATTCCTGTTACTATTCATGTAAAATCTCTGCGGTGGGGGGGGGGGGGTGTCTTTCTAAAGATGACCGTAGGTGTTTCTGTCTTGTTTTGCAGGACACAGGATGCAGGAGGAGCTCTTCACTGGGGATGGGCGGCAGCCGAGTGCGGCCTGGCCCCCCCTGCCTTGTCCCGTCCTGTTCCTCTCCTCCCTACCTCGTCAGCTGGTGCCCAGAGCCCGTCCCTGCTGTGCCCTGCGCTCCACGCTGGCCCCGGGAGGTGGAGATGAGCAGCCACGGGGAAGCCAGACCCGGCCACTGAGGGAACTGGGTCCCAGCCTGGACCCGCCTCCCGTTTCTAGGCCCCATCGTCCAGGTGGCTTTGGGTGTCGGCGGCGCCCACCTGGTCCTCCAGCCCCGCACAGGGAATTAAGCTGGGATTTGGATCGGCAGGCAGAATAATGGAGCTGGGATGGGGTTTCCGACTCAGGTGGTGGATCAAAGCCACCCGGTGATCTGCCCCAGATAAACCCCCCTTCCTCTCCCCTAATCCGGTCAGGAAAGCCACCCAGAGGCAGCGCGGAGAGGACCGAGGAGGTGGGCGGGAGGGGGGCAGTGCTGCAGGTGCGCCCCTCTGTCCAGCCCCCATGCACCCCTGGTCCCCGCCCCCCCCCCCTCTGAGCCGCCCGCCCCTCCAGGGCAGCAGGGGCCCCGGGGCCTACTTGAGGGCGTCCAGGATGGTCCTGTGTGCCTCGTCACGGCGCTTCATGCCCACCAGGCTGGTGGACCACTGCTGCAGGATGTACTTCTTCTCCACGCTGATGGTGTGGATCTCGGTGGCTGCCTGTGGAGGGGGCTGCGCTCAGCCAAGGCCAGCAGGGGGAGCGGGAGGGAAGGGGAGTAGTCCTGTTTACTCCACCTCCACCCTTCTGTTGGTTTGCTTTAGTTCTGGAGGTTGAACTCGGGGCCTTACACTTGCCACAAAATGCTATACCACTGGAGCCGTAGCCCTGGCCTCGTCATTTTGGCTGTGTGTGAACAGGGTCTCACATTCGGGCCTGGGTGGCTTGGACCTCCAGCCTCCTATTTGTGCTTCCCAAAGAGCTGAGAGGTGTGAACCACAGTGCCCAGCCTTTTCTTTTCTTCTTTGGCCAGTCCTGGGGCTTGAACTCAGCACCTGCCGCTGTCCCTGAGTTTCTTTCTTTTCTTTTTTTCCCCCTCAAGGCTAGCACTCTACCACTTGAGCCACTCGACTTTTTCTGTGTATGTGGTGCTGAGGAATGGAACCCAGAGCTTCACGCATGCTGGGCAAGCGCTCTACCACCAAGCCACCTTCCCAGCCCAGTGGCCAGCTTTTATTGGCTAGTAAGATGGGGTGGATTGGCTGAAAACGTTTTGCCTGGGCTGGCTTAGACTGTGATTCTGTGATTCTCCCTATATCTGCCTCCCAGGGAGCTAGGACTACAGGTGTGAGCCTCTGTGCCTAGGCCTGTGTGTGAGTACTAGGGTTTGAACCCAGAGCTTTATGTTTGCTAGACAAGCACTCTACCACCTGAGCCAGGCCCCTGGTCATTTTGCTTGTACTGTGTTGTTCAGTTGGGATCTTACACCAGTCCCCTTGAAGTGGGATACTTCTGACTCCATCTCCTGAGTAGCCAGGATCCAGGCATGAAACACCTTTCCCAGCCACTCACCCTGACTTTTCTTGACCAAAAAATCAGCAAAGGGATACCAGGAAACTAAACACAGTTTCAAAGAAGCCTGGGGCCTCTAGGTCCCAGCGGGGCTGGAGGACACCAGAGGCTCATACTTGCAATCCTGGCTACTCTGGAGGCTGAGGTCTGAGGAGAACATTTCTGAGCAGCACAGAAAAATCTGAGAGACTCTTATCTCCAGTTAACCAGCAAACAGCCAGAAAAGAAGGGTCTGGCAAAAAAGCTGAGCAAGAGCTCAAGGCCCTGAATTCAAGCCCTAGTACTTGCCCACCCCCCCCCCCAAAAAAAAGATCCTTGATATAAACCACTGAATGGTGGATTTTTATTTTATTATTTGTGGTGTGTGTGTGTGTGTGTGTGTGTGTGTGTGTGTGTGTGTGTGTTTACGTGTACAGTACTGGGGCTTAAATTCAGGGCCTGGGTACTGTCCCTGAGTTTTTTCACTCAAAGCTAACACTCTTCCACTTCAGTCACAGTTACACTTCTGACTTTTTCCTGGTTAATTGAAGATAAAAGTCTCATGAACTTTCCTGCCCAGGCTGGCTTTAAACCTTGATCCTCAGATCTCAGCCTCCTGAGTAGCTAGGATTAAGGTGTGAGCCACTGGTACCCAATTCTAGTCCCCCGCCTTTTTTTTCGTTGGTTGTAGGGCTTGAACTCTGGGCCTGGGCACTGTCCCTCAGCTCTTCAGCTCAAGGTGAGTACTCTACCACAGCGCCACTTCTGGTTTTCTGAGTGGTTTACTGGATATAAGAGTCTCATGGCCTTTCCTTCCCTGGGCTGGCTTTGAATCTGGATCCTCAGATCTCAGTCTCCTTAGTAGCTGGGATTACAGGCATGAGTTACCACACCTGGCTCAATTCCAGCCCCTTATTACCCTGACTATTGTCGCGCGCGCACACGCACACGCACACATGCATGCCTGCTGGTGCTGGAGCTTGAACTTTAAGGCCTGGATGCTGTCCTTTAGCTTTTTTACTCACGGCTGATGCTGTACCACTTGATCCATAGCTCCAATTATGGCTTTTTGCTGGCTAATTCAAGATAAGAGTTTCATGGGCTTTTGCTTAAGCGGGCTTTGAGCTTCAATCCTCAGCACCCTGAGTATTTACCATTACATTAGTTAATTTACAGGTGGGGTCTGGATGCCTGGCCTTCCTCCCACCTGCTGGCCATTCCGGGGGGGGGGGGGCAAACTGAGGCTCTGTGGGGCATCCAGCTGTTGTTGGGAGTGGGAGGAGGGCCGGCCCAGGCTGTGTTGCTGGCTGGTAGACACGCGGGCACTGTGTGGGTGGGTGTGCGCTGGCTGGTGCGGGCACTGTGTGGGTGTGTGTGCGCTGGCTGGTGCGTGGGCCGTGGGTGGGGCCGCACACCCACCTCGTTCACCGCCTCCTTCAGACACCGGGTGTCATGGGCCTGTGCACTGTACTGAGCCTCTAGCAGGGCAATGTTCTCTTCCAGCTGGTGGACTCGCGAGGTGAGCTGGTCCACGTGCAGGTCCTGGGGGCGGGGCAGAGAGAAGCGAAGACCTACCGTCAGCACAGCCCGGCCTGAGCCCCCGGGCAGCAGCTGAGGCCCATGGGGGGGGGGGGCGGGGGCTGTGTGCCCCAGGGGCCGCGTAAACACCTGCTTTTTCTTCTCCACTTCAGCCCGCATCCGCTCCATCTCTGCCTTCTTCACCACCTGCTTCATCACGGAAATGTCGTCCCGCACGTCCTGGTCTATGTTCTGCATGTAGAAGAGGTTCAGGGCCAAGTTCTCCATCTCCGTCTGCAGGGTGGCCACTGGGGAGGAGAGGAGGGGCGCTCAGGATTGTCCTCGACCCCTCCCTCCGGCATGGGGCAGGGGACCCTGCCTCCATTGTGTAGCCCAGGCTGGCCTCTAACTCAAGATCCTCAGGCCTCAGCCTGCGAGAGCTGGGACTACAGGCCTGTGTAACCACACCCAGCCTGAGAATGACTTTTAAACCATAAAGACCCAGACTCTGCTGCGAAATAGAGACTGAGAAAAGAGAGAGGTATACAATCTACACTCACCAACTACAACATGTTCTGCTGTATGAGTAGGGCTGAATGACCAAATCTTGTGTCTATTTCACAGGTTTCTTACCAGTTAACAGCGAGCAAATTCACACAGAGGCCCAAGGCCCCATGACCCCAATGCTAAAGGGATGCTGAGCTCCACCAAAGCTCTCTCTCTGTGGCCAGTGAGAGGGAGGCCGCCCTAGAGGCTGGGCCTCCAGGAGGCTGCACTGCCTACCCACCCAAAAGTTCCATAAACCCTCAGGAACGAATTCCTTTAACCAAATTCAAATTCAGCTGGGTGCTGGTGGCTCACGCCTGTCATCCCAGCTACTGAGGGAGCTGAGATCTGAGGATCACAGTTCAAAGCCAGCTAGGGCAGGAAAGTCCATGAGACTCTTATCTCCAATAAACCATGGAAAACCAGCAGTGGCGCTGTGGCTCAAGTGGTAGAGCGCTTGCCTTGAGCTGAAGAGCGTAGGGACAGTGCCCAGGCCCAGAGTTCAAGCCCCAGGACTGGAAAATAAAATTCCTTTCTGTCTGCTCTCTCTACTCTCTCCACACCCCTGACTGAGGCTGGGCCTGTGGCCCCGCACCCCTGACTCCCCGTTTGCACCTGTGTTGGGTGTGGATGACCACCGCTAGTTGGTGCCAGCAGCAAATCCAGAGTGTGCGGTCTAGAGACCTCCCTCTCCCCCTTCCCCCAGGTCCAGTTGTTTGTTTTTTTTGTTGTTGGTCGTGGGGCTTGAACTCTGGGCTTGGGTACTATCCCTCAGCTCTTTAGCTCAAGGCCAGTGCTCCACCACTTGAGCCACAGCACCACTTCCGGTTCTCTAGTGGTTTATTGGAGATAAGTCTCATGGGCTTTCCTGCCCCAACAGACTTTGAACCGCAATCCTCAGATCTCAGCCTCCTGAATAGCTAGGATTACAGGCATGAGCCACCAGCACCTGGCTCCAGTTGGCTTTTCCCAGAACAACTGGATGTGTATGCGCTCCAGCTGTTTCCCTCAGGACGGTTTTATTTTTTGTTGTTCGTGGGGCCTGATCTCTGGGCCTGGGTGCTGTCCCTCAGCTCTTCAGCTCAAGGCTAGCACTAGCACTTGAGCCACAGTGCCACTTGCAGCTTTTTCTGTTTATGTGGTGCTGAGGAATGGAACCCAGGGCTTCATGCATGTCAGGCAAGCGCTCTACCACTGAGCCGCCTTCCCAGCGCCTCAGGATGGTTTAGAATCCCCCACCCCAGGCCCCGACTGCACGCACGCTTCCTGCGCGCCTCGCTGGCCTCCCCGTAGGTCTTGGTGTAGAGCGCACGCAGCTCCTGCAGCTCATCCTCCTTCTGCCGCCTCTCGCAGGAGGCCAGGGAGTGGCGGTCGTGGCTCTTCTCCAGCTGCATCTGCAGGTAGGCCAGGTGCTGCTGGATCCCGTAGAGATTCACGCCCAGCTCCTGACGCTGGCTCCGCCTCTGCTTGGTGCCCACTTCCTGCGCCCAGGAGAAGAGGGTCAGGAGGACGCAGGCGGGGCCTGTCCGGGCCTGGGCAGCTGGGACCCCGCGTACCAGCTCCTGAATCTCCAGCTTCAGCTTCTCGATCTGCCGGTTGAGGTAGCTCTTCAGGGTGGTCTGGAACCTGACCATCAGCGGCTGAAACACAAGACCGCCGCGGTCAGCCCCCGCCTGGGGGCCACGGCTCCCCTCCGCGTGTGTGCGGGGGCCACGGCTCCCCTCCGCGTGTGTGCGTGTGCGATTCCAGCAGCAATTGTGCCCCCTATCTTCTTGGTATTTTTCTTCTGGAAGCCACAAACTCAAGGTACCCCCTGGGCTCCTGCAGGCACTGTGGGGCTGAGGGTCCCGCTGAAAAGGCAGGCCAGCTCCCGCAGGCGGTCCCTTTCTCAGGGGCCGGAGGGTGTCAGCGTCCAGTGACGTTGTGCAGCCTGGTGAGCCCTGCTTTCCCTCAGACCACAGCTGGACTTCGCCAGGGGCCGAGTGGGCGGGCGGGGGCGGGGGCGGGGGCGGGGGCAAATGAGAAAAGGCCCCTTCAAGGCAATGAGTGTGTCCCTAGACTCCACTAGGAAGCAAGGCCTGGAGTCCTTCTCCTTATTACACAAAGGCTGTGGAGCCCAGGGCTGCCCACCCCTACCCTCCCAGGCCCAGGCCAGCAAGCGGACGTGGGGGACGCACGCTTTGGGCATGGGGATCTGAAACCCCTCGGGTAGGACGCAGGGGCTAGGTGTGCCTGTGGCGGGCAGATCTGCACCAGGGGGCTGGAAGACCACACGGCCCGAGTGACTCTTCTACACAGGGCAAAAGCAAGTCCCGGGAATCTTACGTGGTCTGGGTCCAAAACCACCGTGCGGGACCCATCGTCTCCCATGTCCTCGCTGCCCTCGGACTCCTCCGCGCCCACCAGGGCCGCCTCCTCAGGGGTGAGCTGGATCCGAGCCAGGAATGCCTCCAGGGAATCACTCTGGCCTTGGGGCCCCAGGGAGGGCATAGCTGAGGGAGGAGGGCAAACGTCACCGGGCAGCATCATATTTTGGGGGAGGTGGCAGCAAAGCTGGCCCCACCCACGGGCAGTGCAATGGATCTAAAACAAGGAAAACCAGAGAAGCCAAGCAAGGGCTGGGAGCACGCCTTGGGACCCCCCATTCTATCTGCGCTTTGTGGTTGGAGGCACTGAGCATTGAACTAGGGCCTTGTAGGCAGGTGTGTCACCCCTCGAGCCATGCCCCCAGCCCTTTCTTGCTTTGATTATTTTTGAGGTAAGGTCTTGTCTTGCGCCCAGTCCTACTGTGCTGCGATCTGCTGTGCCTCCCTGTGTGACTGGAGAGGACAGGCAGGCATCAGGCGCCTCATCACTGAGACTCAGTCATGCAAATGTGTAAGCCAAGGCTAGCTTTGAACTGCCATCCTCCTGTCTACCTCCCAAGTGCTGGGGTCACAGGAGTGACACACTGTGCCCAGCTCTGTTCTTTTTTTTGGTCAGTCATGGGGCTTGAACTCTGGGCCTGGGCGCTGTCCCTCAGTTCTTCAGCTCAAGGCGAGCGCTCTACCACTGGAGCCACAGCGCACCACTTCCGATTTTCTGGTGGTTCATTGGAGATAAGTGTCTCACAGACTTTCCTGCCTGGGCTGGCTTTGAACTGTGATCCTCGGATCTCAGACTCCTGAGTAGCTAGGATTACAGGTGTGAGCCACCTGCATGTGGCTCTTGTGGACTCTTGATGATGACCCTGTGCTGCCTGTTACCTGGACAACTTTCTGAATGACCTGCAGGTCCTCCTCTGCACATGGCCGACTGTTGGGACTAAGTGGGCTCTTAGTAAATGCTCTCTGCAGTGCTGATGTGTTTACGTTGGTGCTGGAGGGGCAGCCTGCTTTGCGTGGAGGGATGCTGGCAGCAGCCAGCGCCGGGCTGGGGCTGGGGCTGGGGGGTGTCAGCATACCTGCCTGTAGGAGGTTCTGGTCCATCTCAGATGACAAGCTGCTCTGGAGGCTCAGTCTGAAGCGGTGCTCCAGGCCCATGGGGAAGGTCTGTGGCAAGGGGACAATTAATTAGTTCTTATTAATTACTGGGGACTGCTGCACTGTGGATGTGGTGCCACTGTGGGCCCCCTGCCCCCACCATGGGCCCCCAGGGCCGGGTCCCTAGGGAGGAGCTTTTGGGAGGTGGCAGAACTTTTAAGAGCTAGAACCTATGCCGGCTCTGGTGGCTCATGCCTTTGATCCTAGAGACTTGGGAGGCTGAGATCTGATCAACGAAGCAGCCCAGGCAGAAAGTCCCTAAGACTTTTATCTCCAATGAACCACTAAATAGCAAGAAGTGTGAGGGAAGGAGGGCCACTGTCCAAAATGAAATGTACTCATTACCTGACTTACTTAGCTGTAATCCTCCATAGATTGATTGATTGATTTTTTGCTAGGCCTGGGGCTTGAACTCAGGGCCTGGGCACTGTCCCTGAGCTCCTTTTGCTCTAGATGAGCACTCTACCACTTGAGCCACAATGCCACTTCTGGCTTTTCCTGTGATTAATTGGAGATAAGAGTCTTATGGGCTTCCTGCCCAGGCTGGCTTTGAACTTTGATCCTCACATCTTAGTCTCTTGACTAGTTAGGATAACAGGTATGAGCCACTGGTATCTGGCTTGCATATCATCTTTATTGTAACAATAAAACACAGGCTGGGAATGTGTCTTAGTGGTAGAGCATGCATGAAGCCCTGGGTTCCATTCCTCAGTACCACAGACACAGAAAAAGCTAAAGAGGGGTGGTGTGGGAAAGGAGAAGGGACAACATCTGTAGGAGACACAGAAATGCAGGTGGGTGGGGGTCAAAAGGCCACAAAACCCACTGGCCACATCAGGGCTGCAGGGGCAGGCAGTGCTGTGGCTCCAGCTACTGGGAACTCAGGGGTAGGAGTCTCATCGGTCCAGGCTGGCCTGGGGCAAACGTGAGCGCCTACAACTAAAGCACAAACTTAAGCAAAAAAGGTTGTGGGAGCAGCAGGGGTGGTAGACCACCTGGCTAACAAGGGAAAAGCCTTGGGTTCTTTTCTTTTGTCCAAGACCAGGACTCAAACTCAGTACTTGATGATTTTTGCTCATCGGCTAGTACTCTATGAATAGAGCCACGCCTCCAGCCCTAAGCCCTGGATTCAAACTCCAGAACCCCTCCCAACTCATCTTTGTAAATAAGCAAGATAGAAAGTACTTTCCCCGGATCATCTTTATGTAATAGAAAAAGGCAAAGGGCAACTTTGAAGCCAGGTGCTGGTGGCTCATACCAGTAATCCTACTACTGGGGGGGAGAGGGTGGAGGGAAGAGTGGTTGGTGATCAGGAGGATCAAAGTTCAAAGCCAACTCATGCAAAAAAGTTAGAGATCCTGTCTCAGCCAATAACTGTGTGTGGTGGCAAGAACCTGTCATCCCAGATACCTGGAAAAACAGGAAGAAAAAATAGGATGATGGTGGTCCAGGCCACTCCCAGCATTAAAAAAAAAAGTCAGCTGGGCGCTGGTGGCTCACGCCTGTCATCCTAGCTACTCATCCTAGCTGAGGTCTGAGGATCATAGTTGACAGCCAGTCCTAGCAGGAAAGTCCATGAGACTCTTATCCCCAAAGAACCACCAGAAAACCGGAAGTGGTGTTGTGGCTCAAGTGGTAGAACGCTCCCCCAGAGCTGAAGAGCCGAGGGACAGTGCTCAGGCCCAGGGTTCAAGCCCTGTGACCAACACACATACACACACAGAGTCAGATCCTAACTCATAAGTAACTAAAGCAAAAAAGTGCTTAGTGTTCAAGTAAGCAAAGTGTCTGCAAAGCAAGTGTGAGGCTCCGAGTTCAACTTCCAGTCCCACTGAAGACTAGAAACGAACATTTCTGTTCCCCCTTCTCTCCACCTACATTTCAAGTGTCTCAAAGTGCACGTGTTCCCCCCCCCCCCCCCCCCCCCCCGTGTGGCTTCCTCACGGAACGCTGCTCTGGACACTGGAACCTGGGTGCTCAGCGGACGGCCTGGGGTCGGGAGCCGGGGCAGTGAGACCAAGTGTGCTGAGGAATCCCGACAGGGAGTGAGTGCACGTGTGTGAACGGGCTGAAGAGCCCGGGGCACGGGGCACCGGCATGGGGCACAGGGCCGGCTCAGGCCTACTCAACCCGCTGCTTACTGTACTCAAAGGGTCGGCCGTCTCGCTGGATCCCTCGAACTCAGCCCCTCTCGATTCCAGTGGGCTCATGAGCTCTGGTGAGAGCTCCAGCTCTTGGGAAATGTCAGGAAGGGATTCGGGTCTCACTTTTCCAGACATTTCCTCGGAAACGAATTCTGGGTAGGGCGGCTCAGAATATCTGGCTGGCTCTTCTTCCATATAGCCATAAAATACCTGTTTGTCCTCCTCTGCCCCCAAGAATTCCATCTCTCCCCCCATCTCTCCTTTGATCATCTCCCCTTCCATCTCTCCTTCCGTTTCGCCTTCAGTTCTCTCTTCGGTCTCCCCTTCGGTCTCCCCTTCGGTCTCTCCTTCCATCTCTCCTTCCATTTCCATTTCCGTCTCCTCTTCCATCCCGCCTCCGGTCCATCCTGTGGCGTCTCTCGGGTCTTGGTCTTGCGCTTCCCCTTCGGGCCACAAGGAAGCACCTGCAGGGTCTTCAGCTGCGCCACTCTTCCCCGCCGCTGGCGCCTGGAATGGGTGGCCAGGAAACCCAGGACACGTGACAAAGGAGCCACGACCCCTCCCCCTCACTGAGACCTGGTGGCGGGCTTTATCTAGACTGTTTCCCACAGTCCTGTTGCACGCTTTGTTTTAGCACTCTGTTCTGGAAAACTCAGGGTGCTCTACGAACGGGACACCCCGGCCGCTCCTGACGCCAGGCAGCGGGGACCTTGGTTTCTCGGTATCTGAAGTGAGTCTGTCTCAATGCAAGGCAAAAGGGTGATCGCCCCTCTGACCTGAGTCCTAGCTCTGCCTACCTCCTACCAAACCCGAACCACCACAGCTCCCCAAGTGGGTACTTTACCACATCCTCCTCTTCTTCCTCAGAAGTCGATCTGCCTTCCGGGGAAGACCTGTTTTCAGAGAAAGCTGTGCAGTGGGTGCTGGTGCCCCCTGGGTCTTCCCCTCCTTCCCCTCCTGTACCCTCTCTGCCTCCGCTCAGCTGCCAGCCAAGATTTCCTCCTGTCACCCACTACAACCTGCCTGTTAGGGGGCCCAAAGTGCCCTAAGTTTGCTCCAACCATGAATGAAAAACCCAGTGGTGGAAACAGTAAAATACAACAAGAGGAGGTCTCCTGTGCTATACCCGGCCCATCTGGACGCGAGCGGAGACGGTCCACAGCAGGGACAAGCTCCAGGCTTCCTTAGCTTCTCAGCCACGGCATCAAGACTATCTGTTCTTTAATTCTGGGCTTGAACTCAGGGCCTGGTGCCTGTACTCAAAGCTAGTGCTCTACCATTTGAGCCACAACACTACTTCTGGCTTTCTCGGAGTAGTTTATTAGAGATAAGAATCTCTTATTTTGATTGTTTTGGTTCACCAGTATCTAATTAGACAATCATATTCTCTTAATTTTTAACTAAATATAGCACTTTAGGACACTAATTGGAACCTTTGTGATTACACCAAAGATTTGTATGAAAATGGCTCTGTATCCAAAATGGCTCTGTATCCACATCCTTGGGAAACAGACATTAGACAGCAAAAAAGACCTTGACATAAACAAATCCTTAAGTGATTGTTTTGGTTCGCAAGGTGCGTGTGGTTTGAGTCTATGATCCTAGCTAATCAGGAGGATGAGATCTGAGGATTGCAATGAGAAGCTAGCCCAGGCAGAAAAGTCTATGAGACTCCAATTAACTAAAAAGCTAGAAGAGAAGCAGTGGTTCAAGTGGTAGAGCATCAGCCTTGAGTTGGAAAAGATAAGGGACATGCCCTGAGTTCAAGCCTCACTACCAGCACAAGAATAAACTTTTTTGGTCTATTAAAGATATCAACTAAGGGGATGGGAAGGTGACTCAGTGATAGAGTGCTTGCCTTGCATCCATGAGGCCCTGGGTTTGATTCCTCAGTACCACATAAGTAGAAAAAGTCAGAGTGGCGCTGTGGCTCAAGTGGTAAAGAGCTAGCCTTGAGCTGAAGAGCTGAGGGCCAGCACCCAGGCCTTGAGTTCAAGCCCCACAACCAACAACAACAACAAGAAAAACACAAAGATATCAACTAAGATATGGCTTCTCCTTTGGCATGTTTAATTGTGATGTTCAACAGATATCCCTGTAGTTTAAGACAATACTTATTAAATAAAATTCTCTGCTGGGTGCCAGTGTCTCACACCTGTAATCCTAGCTACTTCAGGAGGTTGAGATCTGAGGATCATAGTTTGAAGCCAGCCTGGGTAGGAAAGTCTGGGAGCTCAGGAACAGTGCCCAACTCTAGAATTCAAGCATCAGAACTGGCAAAATAAACGAATAAATAAAATTCTCTCCTCATGATGACTTGAGCCCTGTCACTTTGTGGCAGAATCAGCAGGTCTTGTAGGATCTTATTCAGAACTGATATTCTCTATTTAATTTTGTTCATATGTTTTTAAATTTTGTTTTGATTGGAAAGGAAAAATGATGCTTAGTTTTAAGCATTAAAAGTGTACAAGAGGGCTGGGAAGGTGGCTGAGTGGTAGAGCGCTTGCCTTGCATGCCTGAGGCCCTGGATTCCATTTCTCAGCACCACATAAGCAGAAAAAGCCTGAAGTGGCGCTGTGGCTCAAATGATAGAATGCTAGCCTTGAGCTGAAGAGCTGAGGGACAGCGCCCAGGCCCAGAGTTCAAGACCCATGACCAACAAAAAAAAATTACAAAGTGTACAAGATGCTCTGTTACAATAAACTAAATGTATATACAATGTATGCATATATGTTTTCTTTAAAAAATCAAACTAATGTAAGTGCTTCACAGACAATGGAAACCTTGTGATTTCCCTCGCCTTCCAAGGCAACCATGTGTCACAGCCAGAAATGGAAGGTATACTCGGATTCATTCTGGTCCTTCCAGTCACTGCCTCTGCTTGAAGTGAGAAATCACACAGTAGCCAATGCTTTACCTTTACTCTTCCCGTGGCAGTACATACAAATTGTGTGTGTGTGTGTGCGTGTGCGTGGTGTGTGCTTCAACTCAAGCCTGGGCACGGTCCCAGGGCTTTTGTGCACAAGGCTGACGCTCTACTGCTTGAGCCACAGCTCCACTCTGGCCTTTTGGTGGTTCACTGAGAGCCTCACGGACTTTCCTGCCCGGGCTGGCTTTGAACCGCGATCCTCAGACCTCAGCCTCCGGAGCAGCTGGGATGACCGGCGTGCGCCCCGGCGCCGGGCGGGCTGGACTAAGCCTGGACACACGCACACACACACGCACACACACACACACACACACACACACACACACACACACACACACACACGCCAGTCAGCACCCAGGCGTCCGCGCGGCCGCAGGACCCTGGCACGGAGCGCGGCCGGGCCGCTCGCCCCGCGCGCGTGCACTCCGGGCCGGGCCCCGGCGCCGCGGGCCGCCCGTGCGCGGGGTCCACCCCGCGGGACGGAGGCGCGGGGCTGGCGTGGACCGGCGCCCCGCAGCCAGCAGGGCCGAGCGCCGCGGTTGCCATGGTTACCGCAGGGCGCCGGGGCGGGTCGAGGAGGGCAGCGAGCGTGGGAGCCGGAGCGGGGGCAGGACGCAGCCCCGGGAGGAGCGGCGCTGGGGGCCGGTGGCCGCAGGGCCCCACGGTCCGAGGGTGCGGGCGGAGCGGGCGGAGGCGGGGGAGCGCGGGGACGAACGGCGGGGGCGGCGGGGGCGCGCAGCCGCAGAGCGCCGAGCCCCGCCGCCCCCCCCGCCGCCCCCCGCCGCCCCCCGCCGCCCCCCGCCGCCCCCCGCCGCCCGCCGCCCCGTCCCCGTGACCCGCCGCCCCCCGCCGCCCCCCCCCCCCCCCCCGTCCCCATTACCCGCCGGCCGGGTCCCCGGGCGCCGCCATCTTGCGTTGCTAGGCGACGGCGTCAACATCCGGCGGCGCAGGGGCGGGGCCTGTCCGGGGGCGGGGCCCGTCCGGGGGCGGGGCCTGTCCGGGGGCGGGGCCTGTCCGGGGGCGGGGCCTGTCCGGGGGCGGGGCCTGTCCGGGGGCGGGGCCGCGGGCCGGGCGCGCGTGCGCTGGGGACCGCAGCACCCAGTATGCAGATGCTCAGGCGAGAACACGCTCAGGTGTGGGCACGCTCAGGTGTGTGTATGCACTCAGGGGTGCTGGTACACTCAGGTGCTGGTACACTCAGGTGTGGGTACACTCAGGTGCTGGTACACTCAGGTGTGGGTACACTCAGGTGTGTGGATACACTCAGGTGTAGATACACTCAGGTGTGGATACACTCAGGTGTGGATACACTCAGGTGTGGATACACTCAGGTGTGTGGATACACTCAGGTGTGGGTACACTCAGGTGTGTGGGTACACTCAGGTGTGGGTACACTCAGGTGTGTGGGTACACTCAGGTGTGGGTACACTCAGGTGTGTGGATACACTCAGGTGTGTAGGTACACTCAGGTGTGGGTACACTCAGGTGTGGGTACACTCAGGTGTGTGGATACACTCAGGTGTGTGGGTACACTCAGGTGTGGATACACAGGTGTGGGTACACAGGTGTGTGGATACACTCAGGTGTGGGTACACAGGTGTGTGGGTACACTCAGGTGTGTAGATACACTCAGGTGTAGATACACTCAGGTGTGTGGATACACTCAGGTGTGGATACACTCAGGTGTGGATACACTCAGGTGTGTGGATACACTCAGGTGTGGGTACACTCAGGTGTGTGGGTACACTCAGGTGTGGGTACACTCAGGTGTGTGGGTACACTCAGGTGTGGGTACACTCAGGTGTGTGGATACACTCATGTGTGTAGGTACACTCAGGTGTGGGTACACTCAGGTGTGGGTACACTCAGGTGTGTGGATACACTCAGGTGTGTGGGTACACTCAGGTGTGGATACACAGGTGTGGGTACACAGGTGTGTGGATACACTCAGGTGTGGGTACACAGGTGTGTGGGTACACTCAGGTGTGTAGATACACTCAGGTGTAGATACACTCAGGTGTGTGGATACACTCAGGTGTGGATACACTCAGGTGTGGATACACTCAGGTGTGTGGATACACAGGTGTGGATACACTCAGGTGTGTGGATACACTCAGGTGTGGATACACTCAGGTGTGGGTACACTCAGGTGTGGATACACAGGTGTGGATACACTCAGGTGTGTGGATACACTCAGGTGTGTGGATACACTCAGGTGTGGATACACTCAGGTGTGTGGATACACTCAGGTGTGGGTACACTCAGGTGTGTGGGTACACTCAGGTGTGGGTACACTCAGGTGTGTGGATACACTCAGGTGTGTGGGTACACTCAGGTGTGGATACACAGGTGTGGGTACACAGGTGTGTGGGTACCCTCAGGTGTAGGTACACTCAGGTGAGGGGCACGCTCAGATGTACGGGGACACTCAGGTGTGGATATACTCAGGTGTGGTTACACT